TCAGAGAAGGGGAGAGGGAGAGAGAGCTAGAAACATCAATGAGAGAGAATCATTGATTGGCTGCCTCCTGCATGCCCCACACTGGGGATTGAGCCCACAACCCAGAGATGTGCCCTTGACCGGAATTGAACCCCGGACCTTTCAGTCCACAGGCCTACGCTCTATTTACTGAGCCAAACCAGCTAGGGCATAGCAGTGTTATTTAAAATAGCTACGATCTGGAAACAACCCAAGTGCCCATCATGGGTTGATAAAAAACTCATACACTTACACCATGAATGCTACGCAGCTGTAAAAAAGAAGGATCTCTTACGCTTTGAGACAGCATGGGCACCCAGAGAGTATTGTGCTAAGTGAAATAAGCAAGTCAGAGAAAGACAGATATCACATGATCTCACTTATATGTAGAATCTAATGAACAAAATTGATGAACAAAATAGATCCAGAGACATTGAAGCATGCAACAGACTGATGAATTTTAGGGGGAAGGTGGGCGGGGGGAGGAGGAAGAGATTAACTAAAGAACTTATATGCATATATGCATAACCCATGGACAGACAATAGTGTGGTGAAGGCCAGGGAGGGGGGGCAGTGCAGGAGCAGAGTGGAGGGAATCAATGGGGGCGGGGGGAAGGGAACATCAGTATTACTTTCAGCAATAAAACTAAATGAAAAGAAAAGTAAGAAAAAGAATAAAAGGTTTAGTAATAAATTTAACCATGGAGATAAAAGACTTGTACACTGAGAACTAGAAAACATTGTGAAAGGAATTATAGAAGACACTAATTAGTGAAAAGTCATCTCATGTTTATGGATTGGAAGAATTACTATTTTAAAAATGTTCACACTACCCAATGAGAACTATAGATTCAATGCAATTCCTATCCATCATAACAATGGCTTTTTTAAATAGAAGAAGAAAACTCATTCGAAAATTCATGGGAAATCTTAAGGAACCCTAATGGGCAAAACAATCTTCAAAAAGTTGGAGGGCTCACATGTCCTGATTTCAAAATGTACTACAAAGCTACAGTAATTAAAATGGTGTGGTCCTGATATAACACAGACTTAGACATCGACTGAAATAGATTGGAGAGCCCAGAAATACAGTAACCCCTTGATATATATGGTAAAATTATCTTTGACAATGTGCCAAGCACATTGTCAGGAAAGATTGTCTCTTCAATATATGGTACTGGGAAAACTGTATATCCACATTTAAAAGAATGAAGTTTGCCTCTTGTTTTACTAGTATACTATCATAAATATCAACTCAAAAGGGATTAAAGAGTTAAACATAAAAGTTGAAACTGAAAAACTTCTAGAAGAAAACATAGGAGAAAAGCCTCTTGACATTGGTCTTGGCAATGATCTATTGAATTTGATACCAAAAGCAAAGGCAACAAAAGCAGAAAAAGAGAAATGGAATTACATCAAATTAAAAAGCTTCTGCATAGCAAAGAAGACAAAAAAATGAAAAGGCAACCTATGGAATGGGAGAAAACATTTGCAAACCATACACCGGATAAAGGATTAATATCCAAAATATAGCTCTGGCTGGTGTGGCTCAGTTGGTTGAGCATCATCCCATGCACTGAAAGGTCACCAGTTCTATTCCCAGTCAGGTCACTTGTCCAGGTTGTGGATTCAATCCCCATTCGGGGTGTGAACAGGAGGCAACAGATGATATCTCTCTCTTACATTAGTGTTTTCTCTCTCTTTCTCATTCTCTCTTCCTCTCTCTCTGTTTTAAAAAAAACACACCAAAATATTTGAGAAATTCCCCAAACTCAATAGTAAAAAACCAAATAACCCAAATTTAAAATGGGCAAAGGATCTGAATAGAAGGCATGTAAATGGCCAACAAGTATATGAAAAGGTGCTCAACATCACTACTCATTAGGGTAATGCAAATCAAACCCACAACGAGATACCCTCTCACACCTGTTAGGATGGCTATACAAAAACATAAATAAAAAAATAACAAGCATTGGTGAGGATGTGGAGGAAAGGGAACTCCTGTACACTGTTGGTGGGAATGTAAATCGGTACAGCTGCTGTGGAAAACAGTATGAAGTTTCCTTAAAAAATTAAAGAATAGAATTTTCATATGGTCCAGGAATCCCACTTCTGTCAGTTCAGGAGAATGTAATTTAATAACAACAGCAACAATAGCTAACATTTATTGAGCACTTTCATGAGCTAAGCACTATGCTAAAGACTTCAGGTACATTATCTAATTTAATTCTCACACAATTTTATAACACATTCATTTATTTAGTTAAAATATTTGTTGAACATTTTCTATGTGCTAGTCAGGGGTCCTCAAACTACGGCCCGCGGGCCACATGCGGCCCGCCGAAAACATTTATCTGGCCACCAGGTGTTTTTGCCGCCGCTGCCTCTCCTGCTTAGCAGCCGACTCATCCCGGGCCCGCAGTGCGCATGTGTGGAATGTCTGAGGGACAGTGAACTGGCCCCCTGTTTAAAAAGTTTGAGGACCTCGGTGCTAGATACTGTGTTAGATGCTAGGGAAACAGTGATAAATAAAATTATTATGGCCCTTATTCCTGGAAAGTTTATGGTATAGTAGGAGAAACTCACATTAAACCAATAAAAATAAATATGTTTTGACATATGATAAATGACATGGAAGTGTGACAGAAAAATGGGGAGAGCACCGGATAGAGAGGTCTGAGAAGGTCTCTTTTAGAAGGTGACATATGTAAACTGAGGCCTAAAGAATGAGGAGGAGCTGAGCAGGCAGTGGTGGGGCCTTAAGGCAGATGTGAACAATTCTACCTTAAAGAACTCTTTCCTTAATGGAGGAGCTGAAAGAAGATCAGGGAGGATAAACAGAGATAGCGGTGGGAGAGTGATAATAGTTCAGGCTGGAGGTGAGCCAGAGACCATCCAGGGTCATGCAGATGCAATTTCATTCTGAGTGCATGGAGAAATATTGCAGAGTTTTAAGCAGACAAGTGAGAGATCTGATTTATATTAAAAACACTACTCTAGCTATCTTTTGGAAAATGGAGTGGAGGGAGGTAAGAGCAAAACTGGGGAGAGTTGTTCAGTTTATTGTAGTATTCCAGGTTAGAGATGATAATGATTAGATATAGGATGATGTTGAAGATTTGTAAAGACGTGGATAAGGTTCAGATATATATTTGGAGGTAGAGTCCAAAGGTGATACAGAAGCTGAAGTCAAAGATAACTCAGGTTCCTGGTTTGAGTAATAGGGCTGATGTATTACCACCCTCCTTTTTCAGTCTAGGAGACCAAAGCTCCAAGAGCTTAGGTAGCATGTTCCAGGAGATAGTACATGATTTGAGCACGAGTCTATCCAATTCCAAACACAACACACATAATCAACACATTGTATTGTCTCCCAACGTATCCTCTCCTGAAGTAATCATACTCATTTGGCTCACACAGACAAAGCCATCTCATGTGTCACAATTCTGCTGCTTTCTAAAAGGAGAGAAGTGGTTGTCTTCTGAATTAGAGTCTCTCTATCAACCATAACTTCATTTGCGTAGTTACCAAAGGGAAAGTCAATATCCAGGCATGTTATCTGAAGCATGTTTTGTCCTGGAACAGATTAGAAAATGTTATTTGGATCAAGGGCTGCAAATGATGTTATTCCTTAACCCACTGTACTCCATGTCTGTAGATGCAAGCAGCCGAACTTCCCCACACGCCACGTGTGTCTATTAAAAAAAATGGTTTCCCTAAGTGGCAGCCCTGATCAACTTTAAAATCATTTTTCATGAGAATTTTCAGCTGAAAATATCCAAGAACACCGAATTGTAATATATTTTTTTATTATTATTTTAATATATTTTTTATTGTCTAAAGTTTTACATATGTCTTCTTTTTCCCTAATTGACCCCCTCCCCACAGCCAGTCCCACCCCGGGCAAGCCCCCACCGCCTCAGTGTCTGTGTCCATTGGTTATGCTAATATGCATCAATATATTTATTTTTATACTATCCATTGCAAATTGATTTTTAAAAAAATATATTTTATTGATTTTTTACAGAGAGGAAGGGAGAGGGATAGAAAGTTAGAAACATCGATGAGAGAAACATCGATCAGCTGCCTCCTGCACACCTTCTACTGGGGATGTGCCCGCAACCAAGGTACATGCCCTTGACCGGAATCAAACCTGGGACCTTTCAGTCCACAGGCCGACACTCTATCCACTGAGCCAAACTGGTTAGGGCTCAAATTGATTTTTTAAATTAAGTTCGAAATATCATGGCAGGTGGGAATGGTTTCCACTTTGGAGGCATGGCAGTTAACTGGTGTTTGACCTTGGTAAGCAGGTTCAAGTCTGAAGGACTGGAAGTGATCATCCTAGATATTCAAATTCTGTTTCCAGGCAGAAATCGCGCTCTGTTGTCTCCCATGGGATCAGGAGAAGATGTGTCATTCCTGAATTCCTTTGAGACATTTCAGCAACTTAGATGACGTTGTCAAGAACAGTTGCCCTGGAAGGAATGGGCTTATTTTAATGGGAAAAAGAGGAAAATGAAATAGGTTAATAAGGACCAGAGCCCCAGGCCAGACCCCATGGCTACACAGGAGGTCTGGAGAGCACTAGAAGGCAGATAAGAATATTGATAGATAGCATACGGCAGAATTAAAACACAAGTAGGCTGAAAACTCAGATATGCATGGTGATTCTAATACAACAAAACTTTTTGGATATGTTTTGGTGATGTCCTGAGACTTTCTGTATTCTGCTGGCATTATTCATCTATAAAATGGCTCCTTAACTTTTTTTTAATTAAAAAAAATTTTTTTTTATTGAATTCAGAGAAGAAGGGAGAGGGAGAGATAGAAACATCAATGATGAGAATCATTGATTGGCTGCCTCTTGCTTGCCCCCTACTGGGGATTGAGCCCACAACCAGGGCAGGTGCCTTTGACTGAAATTGAACCTGGGACACTTCAGTCTGCAGGCCAACACTCTATCCACGGAGCCAAACCAGCTAGGGCAAAAATGGCTCCTTAGCTTTTACTTTCTTTGCAAAGTCATAGGTCTGATGAGAGAGGTAAGAATGTGGGGCAATCATGGGCTTACCTGTTTGGGTTGACAAATTGTGGAGTAAATTGTAGAGGAATCATTATTTTTCATAGGTATTGGGATTTCCGTTTTCTATAAAAAGGAATCATACTCATTGGGCTCACACAGACAAAGAGATACTCATGCAAAGATATATTCCCAGAGAAAGGAAGTGTGACAAAGTTCTAGGGAGTGCTTAGCAAGGGGAGCTAGAGACCAAACACTACCAGCTCTCAAACCTGTGAGTTTAGTGGCATTTTCTGAACTGCAAACAGAGGCACACCCCAGCAAACCAGTGGGATCAAGAATCAAAGACAGAAGGGTGACTTTCTTAGCAAGTGTTGTGAAGAAAAGGAAACATCTTGTCCTGAACCCAACTCTACTGTCTTTTGTCTCAGGTCTTTACTGGCTGTACCTGGACGGTGCTGCCTGCTCTATTTTGTCCCTGTGGTTCTAACTGCCTGGTGATCAAGTCATTGGGTTCTCCTCAAGCAGGGGGAACCGGTAGGAGAAACATCTGGTATTAAGAGTGGCTCTACTTGGAATACAAAATATAGCAATAACAGAAGTTCCCTGTGCTCAGAGGTTTTGACATTTAAAATTAATTTAAAAATATTCAGGGTGTTTTCAAGATCTCCAAAACTCTCCAAAGTACAATTTTACCCTAAAGAAAAAGTTAAATTTGCAGATTAGTTTCTTGGTTTGTTGAGAGTGATTCATCTTGTCTTCAAGAGGAAATGGGAAGAACAATAGAAATATCTGAACAGGCCCTAGCCGGTTTGGCTCACTGGATAGAATGTCAGCCTGCAGACCTAAGGGTCCCAGGTTCGATTCCAGTCAAGGGCATGTGCCTCGGTTGCAGGCTCCTCCTGGCCCAGGCCCTTGTCAGGGCTCGTGCAGGAGGCAAGCCATTGATGTTTTTCTCTCACATCGATATTTCTCTCTGTCTTTCCCTCTCTCTTCCACTCCCTCTAAAAATCAATGCAAAAATATCCTCGGGTGAGGATTAAGGAAAGAAACAACAGCAACAAGAAATATCTGAACAAGTAAGAGTTTCCCTTCATGTTCCCTTTCTTCAAGGAGCTTGCTTTACAAATACCTGTGAGGGGCTTGATGAGAGGATCAAAGATTTCTAGCTAGACTATTGCTTCTGTCAGTTGGAGAATGATGAGTCTCTGGATTTGTTTTCAGATGACATGGAAACTGGCCTGCCAGGATGTATGTGCTCTTTAGAAATGTACCTCTTGCAGGTGGGGGGGAATTGTTGATGCCTGACCAAGGCCATCCGGTTCTGTTGCTAGAGGGGTGGGGAGGATTGAGGGCTACTCATGTCTTTACTGCCCTCTACTGTGGAGGGGGTGCACATTCTTGTCCCTCTTCTCTTGAGAGACTGCTTCTGAGCACTGCTTTTTTCCCTGCTACTGATCTGTCTCCTTTGGAAACTCTCAAACTTAATGGAACTTTGATCCACTCAACAAATATTTACGGAGCATCATGATAAGGGGAAGAGAGAGGAAGACGCAATTTTTACTTTCAGGCAGCTTGTAATTAAGCTGAAGGATACCAGACTTCCTGATGCATTAAGCAGTTAGAGAGCAGTGTCGCTACGGGTGTGAGTAAACATTCCGTTGGGGTGAGAGCGGTTGGGGCTGGAATGGGCCTGAGTAGAACTTAGCAGCTCTCGGTAGCCTTCTCCTCTCTTCAATGGTGTACATCGTTTGGATTAGTCAGATGACTGTGGTGACAAGTTTTTGAATCATGATATAACAATAACGCTCACGATGGAGTCTAAGGCTGAAAGGACTCACCGTGTTTGGATGAGTGACCTGAGCGTACACAGTGTTCTCTGGACAGGCTGGCTCATTCCCTGGGTCGTCCCTCGGGGTCTCTGCTGCAAACACAGAGAGGCACAGTCAGCTGCAGAAGCATTCTCCCAGGACCCTTCCTACCCCGGGACTCTTTCTGGCCCTGAAGATGCAGTTGTTCAAGGCATTGCCATTCCTTAAGGTTCATTCATTTTTGACAGTCTTTGAAATTCTGGGTTGAACCAGAAACTTCTCAGTCATGTGATCTATTTTTGCCCTCATCTCTTGGGGGCACATAGTCTTGAGGTACCCTAAAGTTTCAGCCTCCCGTTGAATTCACATGTGAGCAAGGAAGCTCCTAGGACCAAATAGTACCACGTACTTATGAGCTAGAGATCCTCACTGCCAGGGTAATGGAGCTGGATTATTGCACATACCTGTGATTGAACCTTTCAGAGGTCCTTAAGGTGGGTTTGATTATAGTAGAGACTAGAGGCCCGATGCATGAAATTCATGCACGAGTCGGCCATCCTGGCTGGGGAGGGTTGATGGGGATTAAGAGATCAACCGAAGGACTTGTATGTATGCATATAAGCAAGACACTGGGACGGGGGTGAGGGCATGTGCTGGGGGTAGAGGAGGCTGGGGGAAGGTCATTTGGGGAAAAAAAAGGAGACATATGTACTACTATTTGTGATATTTTAAATGATAATAAAAAAAAGTAAAAAAAAAAAAAAAGAGTAGGCCTTCCTTCCCCCGACTGCCAGCACCAGCTTCCCTCTGGCACCCGAGACCTGGGCTTCCCTCGAAGCCCCGGCTTCATCTGGAAGGTCGTCCAGAAGGACGTCTGGCCTAATTAGCATATTATGCTTTTATTATTATAGATAAGGAACTGTAGGCTCAGGTAATTTAATTGACTTGGCACAAAATTATACAGAAATGACTGAATAAGGAACTTAAATGCATACCTTCTGACTCCAAATCTCATGCCATGTCCTCTACACATGACATCACATATCTCTCCCCCAGGAAATGAGACTCAGTGCTAACCCGAGTTCAGAGTCTGTATTCCAGTGTCTCTATCACATTTTCTCTTTTGATTGTTTTTACTCAGTTCCAAAACCCTGGATGAACAGAGTGATGGGGTCAGGCAGTTTGTCTTTGGGCCTCTGATGCTCTAATCCTACACTTGCCCTGGACTTGCTGGGGGATAGTGGACAGGCCATGAGCCCTTTCACTGGCACTTAGCTTTTCCATCAGCGGGGTGGGGAATGGCCCTAATCCCACTCCAAGAAATTGTGTCAGTGACTGGTCCACATGCTTGTAAAGGACCCTGTAGGTCCCACAGGGGACAAACTTGCACAATGACAGGTTCTCCAGTTGTGCATCTGGTCCATCTGCGTAATGACATTCTGACTCCATCCTCTCCAATTATCCAGCCCTCTGCCTGGCCCCCTTCTCCTTCAATTTGGCTATTCCCAGCTGTTTTATGATTGGGAGTTAAGAGTCTAGAAGCTCACCAGGACTCTGGGTTTGCTGAGTAGAAAAGTATAAGGAACCTGAAAAATAAAATCATGGAAATAGAAACTGTGACTGTAACGAGAGAGATCTTCCACCCCTCCAGCCCCATAGGTGCCTCTCCAGAACATGTGGTGGGAGGAGACCAGAAAGGTAAGGGCAGGCAGGACCTGAGGACCTAACTTCCCAGGAGGACAACTTCTCAGGAAATTAGCAGGTGTGGGGTTACACCCCAGGTGTTGTCCTAGTGGACTAGCTGAACCAGTATTTGCATCCTCCCTCTCTTTCCCTGTCTTCCAAAAGAAAGGTAAAGAGAACCCCAGACTCAAAGTCTCTGAAACCTTGGAGAAGAGACAAGTAAGAAGAAAGAAAACCTGCTACTTTTTTCTTCTTCCAAACAATTAAGGACACAACGATACAGATCAAAGAAGGCACTAGTATACTCCATAGGATAACCGAGAGTTGACTTTTTTCGTTAAAAACACCTGAAAAGAAAAAAAAAAAGAAGTTGCACTTAGGACAATTGAGTAAGGCTCTGTGTTCTTCTCAGAGCCTACACTTAACCTCTTCTAGGCCACTTTTGGGAGGGCAGGGTGGGTTCATCTCTACCCAGAAGCTCTGGGGCTCTGGGCAGGATTTCTGGGAGTGGGAGACAGGGCAGGGCAGAGCCTGGTAGAGCCAGGAGAAGAAGACAATTCTGCCTTCCTAAGGACTTTGCTCTTGGGCTCTGAGTGGGTTGCAGGAGGGTTGAGGGTGTGTGTGTGGGCAGGGGGTGGGGTGAGGGAGGAAGGTGAGACCTCTGGGGTAGACATTGAGTGTCTGTCTTCTCCCAGCATCTTTGGCTGCCTCCTATTGGGCTGCTGTTTGGGGAATCATGTCAGTCATGTGGTCACGCCACACCCTACAGCTGCTCAAGGCTTTCAGAGAGACCTGAGAGAGACTGTTACCTTTGCAGAGACTTTGGACAGAGAAAGAGAAGGATAAATTGCTGACAGGATTCTTAGCGATGCAAGTGTATGTCTCTTCACTGGAATCCTTGGGCTCCCAAGAGATAGTGAGGTTTGCTTCCTCCAGGATTGTGTTTCCTGCAGCCTGCCACCTGAACGAGGCATGGTCATTTGGATTCTCCACAGAGCAGGTCAGTTGGATCTCACAGCTCCCATTCTCAAAGAGTTGAGTGTGATTAGCCACTTGTAAGTTCCTCAGTCGACCTGTGTGCAGAGAAAAGATCCAGATTAAGGACAAATGATTTGGCTCAGCCCTCTGTTTAAAATGTCCTTCTCCTCAATGTTTCTGTATTCTGCCCGACACTCTACTGTATGTTACAATCTGTATACTCTGTAAGTAACGCTGTTTATGTTGCCTAATTGATGGGATCAAGGTCTGGGGTGACCAAATGATGAAGGACATTGGTATGAGATAGAAAAGCCAGTGTGAGAAATGAAAAGGGAAAGACTGAGTTTGCCACCAACTAGTTGGGTGATTTGAGGCTGATCACCTTACTTCTCTGCACTTCAGTTTATTCCTGGGGTCCTTTATAGCCTTTCTTTTTTGCCCTTTGTGTAAAAACAACTTGGAGAGTAAGCTGAGGGCCAGCCCTACCTTAGCCAGGTTAGAAAACAGAGCCAGGCACAAGAGCCCTGTTTCATCCATAATCAGAAATCCCTAGCTGGGGTGGAAGATGGAAGCCGATCTTCTTCAGGAAACTACACTTCCCACAAGTCTACAGGAGTTCTGGTCCTCATTGCGTATGATGCTGGCTCCAGTGGGGACAGAGAGACCCTGACACAGAATGTCAGCAGGACAGAAAAGGACACGTTAAGAACCAAAACATTAGGGAAGAAAGAAGTGAAGAAACTGAGAGAGCAAGCAAGTTCTTCTGGGCAGCAAAGAAGTGCAATGTATTAAAAAAATATAAATATAAAGAAAGCCTTTACTGCAGAAATTTATGATAGCAGAGACCAGAAAAGATTGACTAGTGAGATATCAGTAGCTATGGATCAATGGGGACATGGGAACAGTACAGAAAAGGTCACTGACCTAGACTTGGCCTAAGATGACCCAGTAAAGAACAGGATGACTCCAACTGTCTGATTAGAAGAGACAGAGTTATGCTTTAAGCTTAGTTAACCGAGCAGGACTAGTGGAATCTATCTTGCCAGAATGGAGCTGTTATGTAGCAGATAGAATGTTGGATTTGGAGTTAAGACCTGGGTTAGAATCATTACTTAGTTATTTAATGGCTACTTGATCATGACTACATTGGTAATTGTTTCAAGCATCTGTAAAACTGGGCAATAATACCTACTGCTTAGGTCATTATGAGGGTTAAATAAGACAGAGCCTAGCACAGCAATGGCAAATACTTGGCATGAATGTCACATCTCCCTCAGCCTTTGTTCATGGCTGACCAAAAAGCTATATTATTACCTTTTTCCACTTGACGAATTTGTAACCCCATCTACTTGACATTTCCACTTGGACATAATGTGTATTTCCAATTCAACATGTTCTAAAGAACCTCCATTTTTCTCTCTAAAACCTGTTCCATCTGCAGCCTTCTCCATCTTAGTCAATAACAACTTCATCCAATAGCCAAGAATACCCAGAATCCAAGTACTTCTCACTACTTCCCCTGCTATCTTCCTGGTCCAAGCCAGCATCATCTCTTGCTTGGATTGTCGCAATGGCCTCCTTATTGGTCCAGTGGCTTCCACCTTTGTTTCTTACAACCTATTTGCAACAGAGCAGCCAGGAGATCTTTTAAGCAAGTAAGTCAAATCATATTACTTCTTTGTAAAACCCTCCTGGTTCTCAACCTGACTGAGATTTAGATTTGAAAGTCCATATGTTTTCTCTCAGAGCCTTACATGATGTGGCCCTCAATTTTCTTACTGAACCTTGTTTCCTATTACTCTCTCCGCACTTTGCTTCTTGATGTTCCTTGACTATGCAAGGCAGGAGAGAGTACATGTTGGTATGTTCTTCATCCAGATATCTTCATGGCTTACTCCCTCACCTCCAACAGGTCTTGGCTCAAATGTCATCTTCCCAATGAGTCTTAGTGTGACCCTCTAATTAAAATTACGCCCTACTCCCTGTTGGCACTCCTATGCTCTTATGCTATTCTAATCTCTTTTTTTCTCCACAGCATGGCTTTCTTACATACCGTGTCATTTGTTTATACATTACATGTATTCTTTAGTACCTCCTCTTACTCTCCACCCAGAATATCAGCTCCATGAAGGCAGGGATCTTTGTCTGTTTTACTCATTGATACATTTCAAGTGCCTAAAACAATTTCTTGTACATTGTCCATAGTCAACAAATATTGTTAACTCAATGAATAAACTTAACATGGTCTGAACGTCTTTTTAACAGTGAACTCGAGCCCAGTTGGTGTAGCTTAGCAGTTGAGCATTGACCCAGGAACCAATAGGTCACTGGTTTGATTCCTGGTCTTGGCACATGCCCAGGTTGTGGGCTTGATCCCCTGTGAGGGGCATGCAGGAGGCAGCTGATCGATGATATTTCTTTTTCATTGCTGTTTCTATCTCTCTATCCCCCTCCCTTCCTCTCTCTCTCTAAAAAAAAAGCAACAAAACCCCCCACATATTTAAACAAACAAAAACAATGAATTCTAGGAAGTTACTCCCAATTAGTTGATCATGGCCTGTAAGATAAAATCTTTTCTATCCCTAGCCTGGTATATGAAGTAATTGGTTAATGTTTTATTTTATTTTTTAAAAAAATATTTTTATTGATTTCAGAGAGGAAGGGAGGGGGAGAGAGAGATAGAAACATCAATGATGAGAGAGAATCATTGATTGGCTGCCTCCTGCATGCCCCCACTGGGGATTAAGCCCACAACCCAGGCATGTGTCCTTGACTGGAATCAAACCTGGGACCCTTCAGTCCGCAGGCCAACACTCTATCCACTGAGCAGAAGAATGTTGTCTCTACAGGTGTGATGAAACCTGATATGGGATCTGTTCACAGACTTTCCAATGGATGTGTCTCCTCTCTCCAGGACCCTAGCTCTGCCTTGATGATCACTGATTACCCAGAGTGGTTCTGCCTGTAGTTGGTTGAATGATGACTACTGCTCCCCACTCCCCGCCCCCCCCCCCCCCGCCCACACACACACATTCAGATATTTCAATTCTAAGAATCTTATTTGGAAAAAAGATCTTTTGCAGATGGATGAGATGATCCTGGATTATCTATCTAGGTGGGCCCTAAATCCAGTAAGTGTCCTTATAAGAGAAAAGTAGAGATATTTGAGACAGACAGAAGAGGAGAAAACACAAGGAAGAGGTAACGTGACCATAGTTCCCCAAGGAAGACAAGCATTCCTGTCATTCATTGGCATCACTGATTGCTAGACAGATTTTCTTTTTCTGACATTGACTCATAAACTGTGTCATTATAGTTTCCATAAGTTTATGTTGAGGACCCAAGCTATCTGGGAAAATATTGTTTTGTTAATTAAACAACCTTGCTAGAAAATACATTTCTCTTTTTCAACTCATCCTTCTAGAACATTTTCTACATAGACTACTGTTCTGTACCACTGGGTCAGATGAACCTTTGTATAAAGGGAGGCATCGTACCAGCTAGTTATATGGGAAGCTCTCCCACTTACTACCTCTGTGACTGTAGGGTGTTGCTGTAACTGACACTGTGCCTCAGGGGTAAAAATAGTACCTACCTCCTGGAGCTTTTGTGAGGATTACATGACAAATACATGTAATGCACATGACAACAAAATCATAGATATTTCACTTCCATTACCTCCTCTACACTTGTAGTTTGAAAGGGACCATTTTATGTTGTGAGGGGAAGGGAGGTGATTTTGGGTTGGGAGTCACAAGACCTAGGTTCTATTCTCAGTTCTGTCAACTACCTGGCCATGTGCAATGTTCTTGAATTGCTTTGACCCCTGGACCTCAATCTGGCTCCTAATGCCATAGTCTTTACTACTAGGCCATAGCACATATTTGCAGTCACATAGAATTAAAATATGTAATATTTCTTAGTCTATACAAAATTAAAAAATCTAATCTTTGACTCACTGTAGATCGCCAGATTGTAATTATACATCTCTCTGGAGGTTGCGGTGGTTATCTGGGCACGGTAACGTCCGCTGTCTGCCATTGTCAGGTTGTTGATCTGCAAGGAGGAGGACTGGATGACTTTCAGTCGATCTTTCCGTGTTGGATCAGTCACCTGGATTTGTGCTGGATCTTTCGGTATGAAGATGACAGATGCTGTTTTATGAAGCCAGGTGATGGACTGGATTTCTTCTTCTGCAGAAAACTTCAGGGGCAGAGTTACTGACTCCCCCAGCACCCCGTCCACCGGCAATGGGGGTGCTTGGGTTTGTGAATCTGTGTTCCCTATAAACACAGAAGGGAAACTGTTGAAATGGACTATTAAAAAGGCTCCACCCCAACAAAATGTTTGACACTCTTGGTGAATGGGCTGTTAGCCCCGATGATCCTGGCTCAGTTTACTCTCCCACACTGGCTGGTTATCCTCGGCCATACACACTGTCTGACTCCAGCCCCTGAGTTCTTTCTCTGGGCATGAGATAGAGGGGGTCAAGGAATTACATCAACTCCCTGCCACAGATTCCAAAACCACAGTGTTTGCTGGTAATTTATAATTAAAACTCAACATTTACTGATGACCTACTATGTGTCCAACATAGTGGTCTTGTGAGATTTAGAGGAGGAATAATCAGACTTTACAGTTCTTTTTATACATTACTTCATTTGATGCTGACAACAATTTCTGTGAGGTAGGTAGATGGATACTATTATCTCAGTTTATAACAAAACTGAGGCATAGAGTAGTTCACTAGTAATTTTCCCAGGGTTACATAGCTAAAGAATGAGTCAGGATTCAAACTCAACCACTTTGACTCCAACTACTTTGTGCTCTTTTCAGGTTACTAAAAGTCATCTTTTCCCCTTTCAAAAAGATTATACTTAGTAGAAGAGATATACATAAAAGTAATAAATATCATTTAAAGGGAATATATAATGGTCATAGTCTAATGAGCTTATTTCAGAACCATTAATTTTTGAGCAAAAAAGGTGAAATAGTCACAAAGATTCTTTTAAAAAGTATATATTTTTATTGATTTTAGAGAGGAAGGGAGAGGGAGAGGTAGAAACATCAATGAAGAGAATCATTGATTGGCTGTCTCTTGCATGCCGCCTACTGGGGATTGAGTCCATAACCTGGGCATGTGCCCTGACCTGGGAATCAAACCGTGACCTCCTGGTTCATAGGTTAATTTTCAACCACTGAGCCCCACCAACCGGGCACAAAGATTCTTAAAGAAGATGCTTCCTTAGCATCCTTTGCCAAATACTTAGATAAATACTTAAGTAAACATTTATTACACCCTTTTGTAGCCCTCTGTTTGTTTGTCTAACCAATCAGGCTTTAATTATCTTTGCATTTCAGCACAGTACCTGACACAAAGTAGTATCTGTTTGAGTGAGTCAAACAACCAATCAGTAACTATAACCATGACCTTAACCTTCTTGAGGTCTCTTTATTCTCAAGAGAGGATCTGAGTAGGGGAGGAAATGTCTCTTGGAACCCTGACATTCAGCTCCTGGGTGAGCTCTTGTTTTCCTGAATTGTCTTGTGGATGCCAGGCACATGAACATTGCCAGCATCAGTACTACCTCCCAGCACATCTTTCCCATCAGCACTTTAACATGCTGGTATTTGTCATCTTAACTCTTCCCTCTTGAAACCACATGAATAAACATCACAAGGAAAAATCTTGAGAGAAAACCCCCAGATATAAACAGAATACATGATATGATTCCATTTATTTTAAAGTTAAAAAGCAGGCAAAACAAATCCATGCTATTTGAGGTCAAGATGGTGGTTACCTTTCAGGAGGTGGGAGGGACGGCAAGTAGGAGGGAGCAAAAGGGAGAATTGGGGGGAGGGGAGCTGATAATGTTCTATTTCTTGGCCTGTGTCTGTATATGCAAATGTATTCATTTTGTACATTGAGATGATACTTAGTATTTGTTTTCTCTCTGTATGTTAAATTTTAGTAAAATATATTAAAACAACAACAAAAAACAAAGCAAAACAAAATAATGACAATGACCTATACAAACCAAAATGTTCTGGTTATTTTTCTCTCTTCTACCTAATGTCCCATCACTGTTCCCTGTGTTCACTTTGCTCAAACTATGCTGGCTTGGCTATTCCTTGAGATGGTCAAGGCTGGTTCATTTGCAATTCTCTCTACCTGGAATGCTCTTCTCCCTGGTGTCCATGTGTCTCACTCTTTTGTTTCCATAGATCTTTCATGCCAGTATTCCCTTTCAGAGACCTTCTGTGGCAACTCTTTCCTCATCACTAGCCCTTACCCTATACACTCAGCTGCCTCCCCAGTCACCTGAGCTGGCCCCTTTAGGTGCACCCCTGTGTGGGCTGTGTGCACAATCTTGTTTTAGTTGAGCCTTGATTGCCATTGGCATCACTGGAAGGAATTGGCCTCCAGGCCAATTGGCTGTGAGGACCAGCTGTGACTACAGCAGAAGAGCTGCTGTGCAGGAAACATCCTTACAGAGCATAAGTTGCTTCAATGGGGCTTTGGTGTTCATTGAGTCTGCTCCTTGAGTGTGTCACTTGTGGCTGTGTAGAGTTGTAATCTGGTATGGTCTAAAGCTCTCCACCAGATGCACTGGCTCTGGGGCCTCCTGGGAGGTGCAAAGTCAGCCATTGCCTGAGGTTACAGAGAGATGTACAGATGGCTGCTGTGTATTGGGCTTGGAAGTGCCCAGAGGAGGCCCAGCTATAAAGCAAAGCAGGCTGGTGCTAGTGTTGGGTCTTAGGCCTCTTATTGATAGGTTTGTGGCATGCTGATGTCAGTTGCTGCTTGTTTGAGAGATTTTATGAAAGTCTGAAGCCTGCGCTATACAGGCCATTCATATGGAAAGGCTTCTGCAAACAGCTTGGGTGGGGCTGCAAATTGGATGGGGCAGGGTCTCAGGGAATCACCAGGATGGAGTAAGCAGTGTAAGCCAGGCTGATGGAAGCTCAGATTTGGCTGCCAGTCAGCACTGTGATGGGGGGAGTCTCAGCATAGGAACAATGACACCTGTGAGCACCCCTGTCTGGGAGAAAGCCACCTAGGGTTCTTGCCCCAATACCAGACAATCCAGTTCCTGCCCATATGTCCCTGGATTCCCCAAAGCCATTGCCTGGTACTGGAACTTGGAGGAAATGGTACCATTTTGGCCCTTGAAGAGGAACTGCCTGGGGCTCCAGCAGCCTCCATATCACTCAACCACAATCCCCACTGGTTTTTATAGCCCAAAGTTATAGGGATTTCTCTTCCAAGCTCTGGAACCCTGGATGGGGGTCTGGTGTGGGTCTGGGACCCCTTGCTTCTCATGGGAGGCCCTTGCATCCAAGATATCCCTACTGATTGAAAAAACGCCACATGCAGCTGTTGGACCAGCCCAGTCTGCGCCTCTCCTCCTTCTATCAGTCTTGATATACTTTCATCTTTACTTCTGTAGTTGTAGGACTTCCATCAGCCAGATTTCTGATTTGAATGATGGTTGTTCTGTATTTCAGTTGTAATTTTTAAATAAATATATTTTATTGATTTTTTACAGAAAGGAAGGGAGAGGGATAGAGAGTTAGAAACATCAATGAGAGAGAAACATCGATTCAGCTGCATCCTGCACACTCCCTACTGGGGATGTGCCCACAACCAAGGTACATGCCCTTGACCAGAATTGAACCTGAGACCTTTCAGTCCACAGGCCGACCCTCTATCCACTGAGCCAAACTGGCTAGGGCTCAGTTGTAATTTTGATGTGATTATGGGAGGCATCGAGAGCTGGTGTTTAACTACACTGCCATCTTGGTTCTTCTCTGTTTTTCCCCTTTCTATTTCGTAATCTTGAGGTAAGAATTATGTTTGTTATTTCTATATTCTTAGCACTTAGCACAATTTCTAGCTCAATAAAAAATATATTATTGATTCCAGAGAGAGTAAGGGGGGGGGAGAGAGAGAGAGAGAGAGAGAAACATCAATGGCGAGGGCAAATCATTGATTGGCTGACTCCTGAATGTCCCCAACTGGGGATTGAGCCCAAAACTCAGGCATATGCCCTGACCAGAAATTGTACCATGACCACCTGGTTCATAGGTCAATGCTCAACCACTGAGCCATGCTGGCTGGGCTCTAGCTCAGTAAATATTGATCTGATAGAGGTATGTACTCCATGCTAGCACACATAGTGAGAATGATGATCAGGAAGAGTTGGGGTGTGCCAGGAAACATTCCACAGAGGAGATACTATTAAGCAGAGTTTTGAATAAAAACAATAGGTTCTCCATTGTTTGATTATTTGTGATTCTTACAAGAATGTCCTGCCGAAACCGGTTTGGCTCAGTGGACAGAGCGTTGGCCTGTGGACTGAAAGGTCCCAGGTTCGATTCTGGTCAAGGGCATGTACCTGGGTTGCGGGCACATCCCCAGTAGGGAGTGTGCAGGAGGCAGCTGATCGATGTCTCTCTCTCATCGATGTTTCTAACTCTCTATCTCTCTCCCTTCCTCTCTGTATGCATGCATATAAGCATAACCAATGGACATAAGACACTGGGGGATAGGGGAGGCCAGGGGATTGTCAAGGGGGGGGGGAAAGGAGACATATGTAATACTCTTTGTAATAATTTAAGCAATAAAAAAAAATCACACCATTAAAAATAAAAAAGCTTGCTTGTTTAAAGGCAAAAAAAAAAAAAAAAGAATGTCCTGCTTCTTCTTTGTTCTTTGTTTTCTTTGCCTCAAACTCTGTTTCCCACCTTTTCCAGGAAGTGAGCTCCTATTGATCCTTCAAGGATGAGCTCAAATGTCTCTTTTCCTCTGCTTATATTTGTGGGAGGTTTGGTATAGGGTGAGGAGAAAGGAGTTTGTGGTGGGAGAATAAGAGAAGGGGGTAGGAGGAGAAGATGGTAGAATAGTTCTCTGTATGTCTAAGGAGAAAAAAAGATACGAGCCACTATGCTTAGAGAAGGTAAAGGTTAGAAGTTACTGTAAATGTTCAAAAGTTTGTGAGACTTTAGCCATAAGTATAGCTGCTTTAGGGTGGGGCACAGGTAATGCAGTGTGTCCCAGAGGGCACAAGGAGGCCCTTTACTCTGCCTGTAACCAGCATGGATGCTTTGGGAATGTCCTGGCCCAGGATCCTTGTCATGGACATTGATATTCTTGGAGTAAGCAGGACAATGAAGTTTACTCTAAGTGGCTCTGCTGGCAGCAGGTATGAAGGACTAGAACCAGAAGAGAAGATTAAGAATTGGAAAGATACCTTATGACTGCAATTGGAGGCTGCTTAGG